TGCCTTCCAGACATCTCAGATGGGATGTACGGCAGACATCTTAAACTCAACCTGTCCAAAATGAACTCATTATCTTTCTTCTTAAACCTTCCCCTCTTCCTACCTTCCCTGTTGCTGTAGAGGGTAACATTATCCTCCCAGTCCCTTAGGCTTGTAACCTAGGAGTCATTCTCAACTCCTCACCATCTTTCACCCCCTTACAGCCAATCTATTGCCAAGCCTGATGAGTTTACCTCTGCAACATCTCTCTTATATACCCCCTTCTCTCCTCTGATACTACCACCACTATAGGCCCTCATCACCTCCCACCTAAATGATTGCAATAGTCTCAAGTCTCTCCTCACTTCAACCCATCCTCCATTCATCCACTAAGGTGGTTTCCCTTAAACAAGAGTATGATCATGTCACACTTCTCCCCTCAATAAACTTCTGTGACTCTCTATCACCTCCAGGACAAATAAAAGATTCTGTTTGGTGTTCAATGTCCTTCATAACCTAGCCTCCTCCTACCTTTCCAATCCTCTTACACCTTAGTCCGCAAGACAGTACTCTGATCCAGTGACACTGGCCACTTTTATGTTCCACAAAAAAGACATTCCCTCTATTGTCTCTGGGCATTTTCTCTGGCTGTATCCCATGCATAGAATGCTCCCCCCTCCACAATTCTCTCTACTGCTGTCCCTGGCTTCCTTTGAGTCCCAATTAATCCCATCTTCTACAGAAAGCCTTTCCCAACCTGTCTTACTTCCAGCGATGTCCTACATAATTATTTCCTGTTTATCCTATATAAAGCCTGTTTGTGTATATTTGTTTGTTTGGTCTCTGCTTCGTTAAATTGTGAACTACTTGAGGGCAGGGACTATCTTTTGCCTCTTTTTGTATCTTACCACAGGCTTACCACAGTGCCTGACACATAGAAGGTGCTTAATAAATGTTTATTGATTGATTGATTGATTGAATATCTGAGTATAAGAATTGATTAAATATATTTCTTAAACTGCACTTTAAATTTTGGCCTTCTTGGGAAGGTAATATAAATTCTCCCAACCTTACCCAATACTACCTCCAATTGTATTATTAGTTGTACTTTATTAACATTTAATTATCATATTACTGTTATATTATAACAATTCATCTTTTAAATGCCTGACAGCACCCATGCTGCAATAAAAACTGCCTCTTTAAAGCTGATTTAAAAAATATCCTTTTTAGCCCAAATTGTTTGTACTATCTCCTAAAAAACAAACTTTTAAACTGTTTTCTTGCTATGATTTTATCTCTTTGTTATACACTCTCATTGCTTGCTTTATGGGGTCAAGTTTCCTGGACTTACTTGTTTTATTTGTTTCATCTTAAAAGGGGGGAAAAGAAAAGAAAAAGCAAACATTTGATCATCAAATACAGTCTGCAAGGAGAGAGCCTAGGCTGTGGTAAAAGGTGGAACAGATTTTGTGATTTAGAATGTCCCCACCCACTTCCTCTGACAGTTTTTTTTTCCCTCTTCCTTCCTCCTTCTTTATCCTTTTTAATCAATAATAAACCTTGTCCAAAAGGGGAGCTTGTAGAATTGGATGCCTGGAATTGATTCCACCTCATGCCATCCTGATCAGATCAACCATGCTAGTCCAACTAACTGGATGAGTCCCCTTAAAAGAACCACAGCCTCCCTTGTGAAATCTAATACAAAGTACTGTAACAGGAAACCAGAGAAATCTAATGCAATAAAATGCACCTGATCAGATTTAAGAACGTTAGTGCCCCTTGATTATAAACCAGGAGTCAAATGACAAAGAAGGACAAAGCTAGAGCAGAAGGGCACATCATTATAGCAGGGTTTTGCAGCAAGAAAACCAGCTAGTCTTGGATTTCTGGAGCACACTGACCATCCCTAAAGGGCCAGGGATTCTTCAAAGACTCCTGTAGTCCTGGCAGGCTAGATTCTTTCTTCTACAAGAAAGGACTGGTATACATGCCCCACAGACGTCATCTGTGCAAGAAAAGTACATATACATACACATACACATGCACATGGACATGCACACACATATCTACTGCACAGTATCATTCACCCCACCTTGGAAAGGGGTTTGGGTGGCATTTGGTTCCTGCTGTAGCTTTCCTGGATTAGAAAAAAATAGGGACAGCAGTTCTTCACCCTCTCATGTGGACCAAACTAGTGGTTTTCAGTGGTCATTATTCTTACTTAAGAGCTACAGCAGATTTTATTTAAACTGTATGTCTTAGCAAAATGGCAGAATGTATCTGACTTTGAGATGATCCCTAAGGTCTTTTCCAGATCCAGAATACCATGCTGTATAGCTTTGTTAGCTAATCATAATCTTACAGCTGAAGGGCTCCATGAATTTAGAAAGTTTAAGGCTCAAAGACATCTAGAAGAGGAGGATAGTGATCAAAGAGGAATGGGGACATTCCATCTTAGAGCTACAGCAGTTCTCAGGGCCCCTATGGTGTAAGTCAAGAATCATTCTCACTGACCCTTTTAATATTTTTTGAGGGGGAGAATGTTTCCTTTATTTTATACTTCTCTTCATGAACTTTACTTCTCATCATGAACTTTACACCTTAGTCCATCTGAAGTCCCAGTTATTCATCAAATTCAAGACTTCATCTCTGTTCTCCATGAATTTCCACAAGATCTACCCCAAGCTTAGAATGCATTACATCCTCTTCCTCTCAAAAACTTTGTCTTTCTTGGAAGCTCAAGCCAGGTGCCACTGTATCTTGAAGCTTTCCCTCATCACCCCAGTCATTAGTGCCCTCTGCCTTCATCTTCCTTGTACATTATATTCATATTGTGTCTTCCAAATTGAATGTAAGCTCCTAGAGGGTAGCAAGTGTTTCAGTTTGTCTTTATATGCCCCATGGTTTGCAAGTCATGCTTTGTACTTAAATACTTGTTGAATTGAGAGAGACTAAAGAGCTTAGGACCTCAAAAATTGTGGAAGATATCACAGTACTATCACTGTTACCCAGGCCTGGAGCAATCCCTATTATAACCATTATGGTAAAGAAGGCTATTTTTTTAAATTAAATTTTATTTTTAATAAGCAAAAATCCACCTCTCACCTTTCCCTTTCCTCCAATTAAGGCAGGGGGAAGAAAAACAAAACCTCTGTTACAAACATATAATCAAGAAAAAAAATTCTGCATTGGCTATATTGTAAAAATGTGTGTGTGTGTGTGTGTGTGTGAGTGTGTGTGTGTGTGTGTGTCCCCTGCACTGAGTCATTTACCTTTCTATCGGGATTCAGGTAGCATGTTTCATCATGAGTCCACTGGAATCATGCTGATCATAATTCCTAAGTCTTTCAAAGTTGTTTCTCTTTGTGATACTGTTGTCAATGTATAAATTGTTTTCTGCTCACTTCACTCTGCATCACGTCATAAAAGCTTTCCCAGGTTTCTCTGAAACCCTCCCCTTCATTATTTCTTATAGCAGGATAGTATTCCATCATATTTACATAACCATAACTTCTTCAAACATTCCCCAACTGAAGGGCACATTTTCAGTTTCTAATTCTTTTTCACCCAAAAAAAAAGTGCTATAAATATTGTGTACATTTTGTTTGTTTTGCTTAGTACTAATCCCTTTCTTAAACTACCGTCTAATTCTCCCCTTTCCCTCCTGTCTCCCCGTTGAGTGAAATGTATTTTTGTACCCAACTGTGTGTGTATTCTTCCCTCTTTGGCCCAGTTCAGATGAGTGTGAGGTTCAATGTCAGTTGCTATACACCCCCACCCCCACCCCCACTTGTTTGTATAGACTTCTACTTGGCACCTCATAAAGAAGGCTTATTGACCGTTGTGCATTCTAAGTATTGTCCAACAGTCCAATCAAGTGGACTAGGAAATAATTGGGGGTTTTGTGGGGAGGGGCAAGCCTCTGATTTCATTGCAATGGGAACTCCAACCAATGGGATAAGTACCTGCTTAGCAACTTAGAAGTCTAGTGAGAATCCCTGGTCACTGAGAAGTGAAGTGACTTGCCCGGAGACACACAACCCATACAGGTCAGAAGTGGGATCTGATTCAAGGGGATAAAGCTTCTAGAAGGACTACTAGATATACAAATTTGGGTCGGTGGCAGCGGCTAAGGGCAGTTTACAATTATGATACAAACTGAAGGTTTTAGGAGCTTCCTCCCCCAGCCCCAAGGTGTTCTGTCTGCGGTTCCCCCCAACTCCCGCCAGGCTTTTAGTTTTGTGTCCCAGACACCTAGCCCGCAAAAGACACCACTTAATGAGCGTCGGTTGGTTGGACTACTGCCCTGGTGCAAAACCTGCTTGCTTACAGCTATGACTTCGTTGGCGCTGTAGAGACCTGGAGCAGTGCCCACCACCTGCAGAATGATGGGAAGCGACGACGCGACTTTAGTGGGAAATGTCCAAAGAGTACATTTTCTTGCCTAGCTCCCAAGCCCGGACTTCTTCTGTCAGCCCGCCCTCCCTTCCTAGGGGATGATCCCCCTCCTCTCCTTGGCGAAAAAGGCGGACTTATAAGCCACTTCAGCCCTACTTTTTAAAGAGGAGGGAGAGTTGAGTCATCCCCTTGACTCCAGCCCGCTGCCCCCGGGCCAAGGCAGGGACTGGTATAAATGCCCGGGAAGGTGAGCGGGAGGCAGAAAGGCTGAAGGTTCGGAGGAGGAGAAGACTCGGGGAAGTCTAGGGAGAGTGTGGACAACCCTTTTCCTGCCCAGCTGGGCCCGCAGAAGTGAGAATGGGCGGGGGCGGGGCGGGATGGGGGGGGCGGGAGAGGACCTCCTACATCCCCGAGGGCTGGGCTCTGCGGGGAGCCGCCCCGCCCCAGCCGGCCTTTGGGATACGATCTGGTGCCAGGGTGTGAGCCGAGGTCTGGGCTCGAAGAGGTCTCAGAGCCGCCCTGCCGTCCGCGCCCCCTCCCCGGGACCCCGGGGGGCGCACAGAGCCAGCTCCAGCCTGCGTCTCACACCGCCCCCACATTGTACTTTTCTCCCCACCTAGTGACCACAGGGACCATGTCCACCGAGAAAGTGAACGGCCTCACGGAGGAACAGGAGGAGATCCTGGAGTGCAGCTTCAGCAAAGGGAACAAGTACCCGGACCCTACCATGCTGCTCCTCATCGCCGCCGAGGTCGGCCTCAGCTTGGAACAGACCGAGGTGAGGTTCCCACCTCGGTGCCTGCCTCCGTGCCCGCCTCCGTGCCCTCCTCCATGCCTGCCTGTCCGCCCTGCTTCTCATCCAGGCTATCGCCGCCTCTCCTCTTTTCCTCCCTCCCTAGCTTGTTTATCATCACCAGATGGCTGGGTGTCACCTTATCATTTTCCACTTATCTGGCTCCCTTATCTCTTCGCACAGTTATCCCTGACCCACAGTACCACCGCACCCATAACCAGCCCCTTCACCTCCATCCCTTGTTATTACCTCCCTGGCTGTGTTTGTCCCCCAACCTCGGTCTTGTCTGCCCCTAATACTGAGGCCTCTTACTCTTTGCCTTTGCTCCCTCTCAAGCCCACCAATCATTCAACCGGTATTTATTAAGCACCTACTTGTGCCAGGCCAGTGCTGGGGACCTAAGTACAAACGAGAAACTTTCCCTACTGGAAGGAGCTCACTTACAAGAACTCCAGTTCCCAGAAGAGCTCTTTAGAGAGTACCACATTTTTGTTTCAGACCAGCCTTTCCCCCATTTCCCTTGTAAACTGCCATCTCCCAGCTCCTTACAGTCTTCCTCCTCTCTGTGGTCTCTGCTTTTTCTTATTATTTTTGCTTTTCCCTTTGAGTTGCAAAGTCAAGATCTGTGCCTTCCTCCTTTGGGATGTCAGCCCTACTGACAGAAGCTGTTTCTCTTCTATCAGTGGATTTCCCAGCAGCAGCAGCAGCTAGGTGGTCTCTCCTTTGCTGAAGTACTCATCCTTCTAGCCATTTACATCATTTTCAATGTACAATCTCTCTGCTTCCCTACTGTCTTCTGCTGCACCCATTTCCAGAGCCTGATGTCTTTAAGCACCCTTTCCGTGATGTTAAGAGAATCAGAGTTTTAGAGATGGAAAAAACCTTTAGGCCTAAGGAAAGCTAAGCCCAGATGGGTTAAATCATGGGGCTGCTTACTGGTAGAGCTGGGACAAAAATCCAAGTAGTCTGTTCTCATTCTTTCCAGCACAACACTGCTGTGCTTTACTTTAAAAAATGAAAAATTGTGTGCATACACGCAAACACACTCACACATATACACACAGAGTGAAGGGAGGAGGGAGAGAGATTTGGGTTCAAGTTAAGAAAATATTTCTGGCTAAGGATAGCTAGGTGAGTAAAGGTAATTCAGTTCAGGCCAACAAGCATAGATCAAGCACCTACTACCTGTAAAAACACTGGGGTTAGTTGTGGGGGGATAAAATGATAAAATGGAATGTTTTCTGCACTCTGGAAAGGAATTTGGGAATAGAGTGGGAGAGAAATTTATACATATAAGAATAAGGTAATTGAGAGACTGGAGAGGCCAAGGAGAGAACAGACAAAATGTTCCAGGAATATTAAAAGAAAGGAGAGAACACTAACTGCTGAAGAGATCAGGAAGGGCTACATGGAGGGGATGAGACCTGACTGGAGTCTTGAAGAAAGATAAGGAAGGTGGAGATATGGAGGAAGTGTGTTTTAGATGTGGCTGATATTTTGAGTTAATGCATACCTATGTTTTTTCAACCAACCACAAAGTTGCAAAGACCTATCAGTCATCTAATGGACATTTTATATCATGGTTACTGAGGACCTAATCAGTCCCTGTGACATTTTGCCTAATGCCAGGTTCATTTTCTTCAGTACCACCGGTAGATGATTTAAGCCTGCATATCGGGTTATCTGACTCCCAAGGTTGCCCAGAGGATCAAAGGCAATAATAGAACTGAGTCCTTTGTAACCATATTGCTTTGTGTTTCTAGGTGCTCTGGATAAATGCTAGCTGTGGGGAGATGGATCTAGTCTAGATGCCCCCTCAAGTCCTGTAATCTGTTTACAAAGTCTCTATGCCTTTCTGGAAGTTGCTTAGTGCAGAGGATGCAAATAGATGTCTTGTGACTGATGTCTGCCTTTTAGGAGACTTCTCAGAATCAATCAATTGAAAATATTTTTTGGGCACCTGTTTAAGTTTGTTTTGCTGGGACTGTTGGGGCACTGGAAAATCAATGCCCCACTCATCCATCTATAAAACAGGAAGAATAAGATTGGACCATTGGGTGCTTTTTCTGGGAGTTGTTTGCCCATCTTGATGTCTGATTCCATTTACCCTCCAGCACTGAACGATGATTAGTTATAAATGATAATAATAACAGCTGACATTTATATGGAGCCGTGGCAGTTAGGTGACAAAGAAAATTCTACCCAGCACTGAAAGCCTTGAGTTCAAATCCTGTTTCAGTAACTTCCTACTTGAAGGACTCTAGGCAAGTCACTTAATCTCTGCCATCCTCAGTTTCCCCATCAGCAAAATGGGAATAACAATAGCATCTACCTCATGAGGTTGTTGTGAAGCTCAAATAAAAGAGCTTATGTAAAGTGCAATATATAGGTCAGCTGTTGGCTTAAACAGTCATAAATCATCTTATGGTCACTGTTAAACTGTGAGCTCCTGAGAGCAGGATTTATTTATTTATTTTTAAATGTCTGCCTTTGGTTTCCTTGCATCCCCGGAGCTTAGCACAGTGCTTGGCACACAATAGGCACTTAATAAAATGCTAGGTGACTGACCTGAACCTCATGGTGGTCCTCTTAGGTATAGGTTATAACTATTATTGTCCCCATTTTATAGAAAAGGAAAATGAAGCTCAGAAATTAGTGAAGGCCTGAGACAGGAGTCCTACGCTGATCTACCCAACTTCAGGGCCAGCACTCAATCCATCATGTCAAGCTGACAGGTCCAATAGTAATTTGCAGGGAGATATTGCTTCATCTCCATGGTGAAGTACAAATGGGCCAATCTATTTCATACTACTTTACAGATGGGGATACAAAAGACTACATGGGGCAGTGATTTCCCCAACATCACACACTCAATCAATGCTCAATTAGTCCTAGGTACCTAATGGGTGCTCGGTGAACAACTATCAATTGATTTCTGTTAGAATCAAGGCTATATTTAATAAATCCAGTCAACCAATTTGCCCATATGCCAAGATTTATCTTGTTGATTATTTTCCTATGTGTGGGTCAACAAGAAAAACCATTTGGATCTGCCTTTAGCAGATAGTCTAGCTGACAACATTGAAAATTATTTTTGATAATTTAATCAACAAATATTTATTAAGTACCCACTATAGGCCAGGCATTGGGGATGTAACAACATAAGCTAAAAAGCTTATATTTTCCTGGGAAGTAGCCTGATGAAATTAGACATTTTTTAAAATCACGAACTGTTTAGAAAAAAAAAATTATTGTGGAGGCAAGGACTTTCCTTTCTCCTCGAGTCAGGTTCTGAGTCTGGGTCTGTACAAAGGAAAGACTGAGCTACCCTTCCCATCTCTGATAAGTTCACATTAAATGATCTATGCCCCTTCCCCCCAAAACGCATGTACTTCTGGCCTGTCAATTCAATTAAATACATATTTATTTAGGGCCTGCACTAGGTTCTGGAGATACTAAGACCAAATTAGTGACCCATTTGTGCATGCCTTAAGAAGTTTACATTCTTCTGTCACCCTATCCCCAGAACATCAGTTACCTCATCTGTAAAATATACATAAAGATGATTATCTATAACTAGGTCAGTATAGTGGAGGGAGTGCTGGACCTGGAGTCAGAAAGACAAGTTCATCTTCTCTCTCAGACATTCTCTAGTTATGGTGTCACTCTATCTCTCTCATCCCCAATTTCCTTATCTGAAAAGTGGGTATAATAATAGAACATAGCTCTGAGGGTTTTATAAGCATTAACTGAGATAGCACTTGCAAAGCACTTAAGGTGCTATGTAAATATGAGCTCTTTTTGTCTGAGCTTCCTGGTGTGGTAAAAAACAGGAGTTTGTTCGAAGACTCGTTGTCAAAAGAATAAGCTATATGTAAATAAATGAGGATCTTTTGGCTCCCTTTCTCATCTCTTGCCCTGTAAACCAGTTGACAAGATAGAAATAACTTAACCATTTTCTACCCCTCAGAGGAGTAGTTGGAATAAGTGGTGGAGTAATAGAAAACGTTCCACAAAGATGAGGTAGTTAAATGGTCATTTGGAAGGGTGAATTGGCTCCCCAAGAAGGATGGGGGAGAAAGTGCTTAGTACAGTGCCTAGCACATAGTAGGCCTTTAATAAATGTTTATGATGGACTGAAAGCAAGGAGCACATTATAAAAAGGGGGGGATGGGGGTGGGAAGGCTTTCTCCCTTGATAAGGGAGCTTAATTGAAAGCTTCCTACCTCGGATTACTACTATGCCAAGAGACACCTATTCTCATCACAGAGTAAAGGCAACAGAGTATTTGCACCCAGACTCATGCTGTGTGCAAATTCTACTGTTTTCTCCTTCACAGCTCCTGCATGTAGAATAACTGGCAACCCAGGCTATTAAAAAAAATTCCCAAACCGTACTTGAAAACAGTGGGTTAAAATGAAATGAGAGGAGGAAACGACATGATTTCTTTCATCAGATATCCCAAGAAGATAATTTATAGAATAACAGAATCTAAGAGTTGGAAAGCACCTCAGCGTCCCACTGCCCTAGCCTCAGCTGAACAAGAATCCCTTTACAACCTAATGTATGCACAGGAGCATTTTGCAAACTTTTAAGCTCTATATTTGTGTGACCCCATATCAAATTCAATTTACCCCACCTCTTTTTAGCCCTCTTCCAGTTTCCTATACTTTGTTGTGTTCCAGATGAACCGTGGGCTTATAAAAATGTAATGAAGTAACTCTGTGTCCATCATACACTACTACATTGTATGTATCTGCTGGAAAAATTGTTCCACTTCCTAGGCCTTGGCCCTCCTCTGCCCTCAAATCTGAAACAGTAGTTCCATTGGTCTAGGCAAGCTGAAATGTCCTGGGTCCTCCCTTCACCTTCTACATGAAGCAGAGAAGACAGATTGGAGTGGGAGGGATGGAGTATGACTGGGTTCCCCAGAAAGGAGTTACTGACCACCAAATGTATTATATTTGTTCCTGGGCAAGTGATTT